ATCAGTGTCTTAGAAAGCTGTAGCAAATTTTGCAATATCCCTGTTTAAGGTCCATGATGAAGGTTTACAAGCTTTACATCACAGACATTCGAGATAACATTGCAGAGGAGTTGCATTTCTCACAGATCAAAAAACAACACTAACGATAAGATGGACGTGTGAACTGGATGCTACGAGAGGAAGACGATGACGAAAAAATTCTTTGGCGCAATCTGATGTCAAGGGCCAACAGAAACTTGTTTTACATATGGACCATGTGGATAGTACGCATGCGAAAAAGACATTTGTACAGCAAGAGGGATTCTATTATTAAAGCCATGTGGCAGGTGTTTAAGAGACCGGCCAAGAGGCAGATTGCTCTGCTATATGAAGCACGTTATGCTTTAAAATCCGGCTCTTGGAGTCTGCGCCTTTGTAAGAAGAGTCGGTTCAGTGGAAGGACCATCTGCAGCAGGTGTACTGCAAATCACAAAGGAATAAAACGGACATTAATCCATGTTTGGATCTATGGAGAGGATTCAGGATTACAGACTCGCTTTTACAGCTGTCCATTTGCTGGTCTGCACAAAGTACGAGAAGAGTCAGGTTTAAGGGAGGACGAAAGATGAGGTAAAAAGGCGTAGAGGCAAGGTTTTGGAGAAGTGAAGTCTTGGAGTATCGAAGTTTGTTTTATTGTGGTTTCTGTGGAGCACGTCCTTGGAAGGTCTCATTGGTACGGTGGTAGGTGATTTCACTCTAGCCATTTTCCTAGTGATGGCCGCTATCGTCGTCAGCGTCGCAATATTGGTGATTGAGAAGGGCAACTGTCGCAGCCGGATAACGACGCATCTAATCAATTGCGCAATTGACGAATTCTTATACAAATTCATTAGCGCACATTGTTTACGACGTCGTCGTCATCGAGGCCGAATTCGTCGTCCTCTCCTCGTCGTCCTCGCCTCCTCATCGTCGTCGTCGTCGTTACTGTGTCCAGCCGACCAGCAGAAATCAATACCCATCCGCCTCCATCCATCCGAACCCGGCCCAGTCCATCCATTCAGCCAAGGCCGTCGGCCCGGTCACGAAAGCCAAGCCGGCCATGACTCTTTGCCACCGCCCGCTTACAACGACGTGTCTTCCTCGCCTCCTGCCGCTATTCCATTGGCAAAGGCAAAGGCGGCGGCAGGCGAGGTGATTTGTTTGATTAGGCAAAGCGAGGACACAGGCATGGACGCGAAAATATTTGCTCAGCAATGTGTCACTAACAGAAGCGATAG